GAATTAAAATTATTACTGACAATATATATTAGGACAGACCAATACCTTATACATTAGGACAAACCAATGCTTTACAGGTGAGGACAGACCAATGTCTTATATGTTAGGATAGACCAATGCTTTACAATATTGGAACACATATATATAATCATAACCATACAAAATTAATTACCATTTCATATTTGACAATGTTTCCTATACACTTTTAATAAATTAAATTAAGTTTAATTTGTTTGTTTTTTTCAAGTTTTCAGTGGTTTCAACATTTTAAAAAGACCATATTTAGAGCTATGTTTTTGTTGTTTAGATGGCCCAGGCTGAGTTTGAATCCACCAGCCTTGGTACATGTGGCCAGCACCATAATTACAGTGCTACAGGTGCAGAGCTCTAAATTTAGTTTTTACTTTGGAAGTTTTGTCAAATATTAAAGGCTTAAAGGTTTAATTTGTTTAAACAAGATTACAAGTTAAAATATTTTGAAGGAAATAAATAGTCAACTGGATTACATGTAAACTTTTTTATAAAGTCTCTTTTATGAGCTTTATTCAACCTGCACAGATAATTTATAAACATTTTAAATCTTCTTTAACTTTTGCCCACCTTTCACTTTTTAAAATAACTGCTCTGTTTCAGGACAAATTTATCACACAGTGTTCTTTCCTTACATATGTCATTTTTCTTTCTAATTTCTCTTACTCCCCCAAATTTACTTTTCACAAAACAGGATTACAGTTAACCATTTACTTGCTAAACTGATAATTAGAAAGTTTTAAAAGGCAAGAATTTTATTTTTTGATAAAGACTCTGTTTTTTTTTTTTTTTAGGCAACTAAATTATTACATTTTGAAATTCCTTTAAAATTTTTCATAAACATTTATAACTTACATGTACCATTTTTAACATTTCAAAATTCTTTATTTCTTGTTTTAAATTTTTTTATTACTACTTTCTACTTCAGAGATGGAGTTTACATAAGTAGGGTTATTGTCAGAGTCTGTTTTTTTTGTTTGTTTGTTTGTTTTTTCCTGGATGCTTATTTCTCTATTGGTGAGCTGCTGTTACAGAGGATCACCACAGGACCTTCCTATTACTCTGCTGAAAAGCTTAAGTAATCAGCACAGGAGGGCTCTTAAGGAATGGCATCAGTCAGGGTGCTGGGGAGAATTCCCATCAGGGAATTAGAATGTTGCAGGAAAACAGTGAACCAAAATAAACAGACACTTATACTGACAATATAGAGGAAGGAGGTTTTTTTTGTTTGTTTGCTGGCAAGAACTCTGGTATTTCAAGGCATAGAATGCTGAGTTCTAGGGAACATTTTTAAAAATTCTCTTATACCTTTTTTTTTTCCTTTTTGGTTTAATGTAGAAACCAGGGTGTTGTTGTTAGTTACAGAGTTCTCTTCAAGGTTAATTTAGCTTACTATAGTTTGTTTTTATCTTTAGAGGAGTTCCTCACAGCTGCCTGTTACTTTTTCAGGATTTCTAAGAAGTATATTGTTATACACACATTTCAACTCATTTTTTAATCTGGGCAGCTTTGATTTTTAATTTGAACTGCCATTTTGGACAGAATCAGTGAGAAAACAGAAGGGCTAAGTCGCTGGGGTTTTTATATGGTCCAAGAGTGTTTTTACTTCTTTAAATAGAAATCTCCTTAGACTAGGAAAAGGAGAAGACTCCACATTGAGGATTAGTAGCTCTGATAGAAGAATCCTCCCCAGGAAACAGAAAAAGGAGGGGCCCAAAAGTCTGGTGGTGATGGGGCATCGTAGAATTAGGGGGATGCAGAAGGATTAGAACTAGGTGGGGACAGAAGTATGAACAAGGTCACATGTTCCCTGGTGGACCAGTCTTGAGGGGGGTGGGGGGCAGTGCTACAAAGTTTAATACTAATAATAAGGATGAAGAGACTAATGACTGCTAGGCTAAAGATGCACCAGACAGTGAGGGGTGTAGGACATATAAGAGTAATAGGTAAATAAGGCAGTTTCAGAAGAAGTAAAGTCTTGAAGGGTCTCTTGAAAGAAAAGATCTGCAATCTATTCATAAATATTTTCAAGACTGTTTGTTTCAGGCTGAGACCAATCTTCTAATAAACACTGAACAAATAATACAAAATGACAAGACAGACATGGGCTCAATATGAACAATGTTTAATAATCTACATTTACTTTCTATCCCTGTACTCTCAAAATCAGTACCAGAATATACTTTCATATACTTTTTAACAAGCCTATAGATGATTTAACACCCCAGGAGTTGATTGGACCCCCACTTTCATTTTAATGGCGTTTCTGGTGACGGGTGTTAACACATTTCTGGGAGTCCCTGACAGGCCAGTAGGGCTGAGGCTCCCCACTGGTCGGGTTGTTCTACCGACATATGCTTTCACACATTTCTGAATGTCTCTGATAGGTCAAGAGCCTGGCAACCTGGGGTCCTTATTTAAAGTTACTGTCTCTTTGGCCTTCTCTTGGAGGTTTTTAAGGGCTTTATACAAATTACAACAAATGAATTTAACAAACAGTTACATATTTTCACAACAATTCACAATAAATAAGCACAACAAAATAATACTAATAGTTACATTAGCATCAGCAGACACTAGCTAGAAATAGATGTTAAAGTGGCTTACCTCTGGAGGTGGACTCACAGGTGAATTTAGGGGTGATTGTTAGCTGGTCTCCTGAGGGCTCAAGTTCTCTGGGGGCCCTGGGATGTTTCCAGGGGGTGCCTCCCCTCAGAGGGACCACATCCTGCCCTCCTCCTGAAAGCTGCGCAGGGGACTGGTGCTCTGAGACAGTCTGTCCCAGTAGACAGCAGCTTGCCTTATATAATTTTTGAGCAAGCATACTACAGAAGCAAAACATGGCTGGTTAGCTCACGGTGGGGTGGGGGTTACAGCTTTGTGGGTTACAATCTGGGTAAATTCCCACCATTGTTCACTTGAACTTGGAACTTTGGGGAACTTTGTCTCTAAGGGGAAAGGAGAAGGAGGGAGTTGAGCTGGGAAATTGTCCCATTCCCAGAGTTGACTCTGGGGGGAGGGAGGAGAGAGGCGGGCTTGTTCCTGGGGTTGACTCTGGGAGGAAGGGAGGAAGAGGGAGGTGGGCTGAGAACCTGCCCATTTCAATCTCAGAAGGAAAAAACTTCTTTGGTACCAATTTCACCATCTTTATTAAGTGGCACTGTTACTGTCACATTAAGAAGTGTCTTTTCTTCACAAAAACTTTTATTTTGCTATCTGTTAATTAGAACTCCAATTAGGTAATCACAGCTGTACTGTAAATTATGTAATCATATTAAAGCTTTAAATTTTTAGAAAAGATTAGATTAAAAATGAAAATTATTTAAAAATAGCAATTATTCTATTTTTATTATTTATTTTTCTTTTTGAGATAGAGTCTCACTATGTCACCCTCAGTAGAGTGCTGTGGCATCACAAGCCACAGTAACCTCAAATTCTTGGGCTTAAGCAATTCTCTTACCTCAGCCTCCCAAGTAGCTGGGACTACAGGCACCAGCCACAACATCTGGCTATTTTTTTGTTGCAGTTGTCATTGTTGCTTTAGCTGGCCCAGGCCGGGTTCAAACCCGCCAGCCTCAGTGTTTGTGGCTGGCACCCTACCCACTGAGTTACGAGCACCACCAACAAATTATTTTTAAAAATATTTTTTTCCAGGTATTTATATACCTTTGGATGATAGCTAACAACCAATCTTAAAGTATCACACACCACAACCTGGTCCTGGTGTACATTACTAGCACAGAAATCATTCCACATTTTCCTTGGCACTTTGGCAACAGCTAAACTGGTCTGTACCCTGACAAGGAGAGTTTACTAAACACATGCTTAGATTCTGAGGCAGTTATCAAATAGATATAAAAGTTTTGCCATCATTAATCCCAATTTTTAAGCTTACCCTGTTGTAGACAGGTTACCAACAAGTCATGAACCAGCTCCAGCCCACAGGTCACACATTCACCAGCATGAGTCCATAATTTTCCCAGAGTGTCCCAAACATCCACTTCTGACTGGGCACAGGCTTGTTCTGGCCAGCCTCCTAGGCAGCCTCAGAGAGAGTGCCCCTGTGGAACAGCATTGTGTCCCACATGTCCATGGGATAGCATCATGTCCCACATGTCCGTGGGCCTGGGGTTCTCTCCAGGGAAGGCCTTCCAGGGCAGTCCCTGGAACAAGGGATGCCCTAGCCTCTGGCACCCTCTCCTCCAGCACCCCCAGCCCTTATCCTCTCTTTCCTCCAGCTTTCCTGGAGGCTTTCCTCTCCCAGATCCTAGATAGGGATGTAGACCTAACTGAGGGCATCAAGAATCCCCACTTCCTCTCATGGCCTTGGGGCCAAACTCGCTGTGACTCCAAAAGCCCCCACCACTTTCCCAGAGACAGCTGGCCCACTTCCCCTTGTACCAAGGGCTCTGAGTCCAGGTAGGTTCAGGGTCTTTCTGGAAAGATGAACAGTGGGAGCTGTGTGCAGGCAGCTCCCAAAGTCTCAGAGTCAAGAGGGAAATGAAAAGCATTTCACAGGCTGTTGAGGTTGTGGGAGCCAGTGCTGTGCCACAGAGCCAGAGACAAGGATGTGACAGCAGCCATCCACATTCCCTGTGAGGGGCTCCCTTCCTCAAACAGCCCCAGGGGAGTGGGGAAGTGAATGGAGGTCAGAGAAGAAAGGGCCCTAAGGATATTGACTGTTCCCACCTTTGAAGAGGCTGGGGCAGATGGCCAGCAGAGGAGCAGAGGTGCTGGGAGAGGCTGAGCCTCCTGGAGCCTCTTGCAGCACTCCTCCTGGGTGCCCTTTAGAGCCCAGGCCACAGCTCTTTCTAATCCTAGGGACTTCACAGCCCAGACCCACCCTCCCAAATCAGTTTTGTCCTTCTGGGCCACGGAGCTCTGCTCGAAGTCTGACCCAACTCACTTACCCAGCTTTTCCACTGGCCACAGTCCCACCCACTAACCAAGGTCTTTCCCTTCCCTAGAAGCCTTTGCCTCCACACAGGCCACCTGTGCTCCCCCTAACCTGGTCTCATCACAGACCCAGAGCAGTGTTCCCCCAACTGGAGAAGCCAGAGATGCCCTCGAGGCCTCGTCTGCCATCAATGCCCCTCCACAGTGAGTTTATGGTGGGACCCACAGCCACCAAGTCCAGGGCAGGGACCAGCAGAGAAGACTCCCTCTTCAGCCTGTCCTCTCTGCCCTCTAGGCCACGAAACTCCACGCTCTACCATGGCCCTGCAGCCCCCAGCACCCTACTCCCTGTGCTCTGTGGACTCCTTGTAGCCAAGACCTTGCTGCTGTTACTGCTGCTGCTGCTGCTGCTGCTGCTCTGGTGAGCAGGGTGTGGGCTAGGCTTGGGGAGAAAGGAGCAGGGAATCATCCCTGCTCAGGATAGAGGGCTGGGGAGGGGGGGTGTCAGGCAGAGATCACAGGCAGGAAACCAAATTAAAGCCTCAGAGAGTCAATCCATCCGACACTCATGGGAATGTTGGAGGTTCACCTTTGTTCTATAGCTGAAAGCTTGCAGTGATCTCTTCCTCATTTCTGTTTCCTCCTCTTTCTCTCTCTCCCCCTTTTCCCACCTCCTGTCTTTCTGTCTCTCTTCTCCTGCCTCTCCTACACTCACCTCCCCCATCTCTCTGTCTCTCTCTCTCTCTCTCACTATCTCCCCTTCTCCCTCCATCGGTAACATTAGCTTATACAACCAGAAATTCCCTCCCCCCCACAACCTACCCTTCCAGGAGCACCCAAGTCCTGGGACTCCCCAAAGCTGCCATTCCAGGACTCACTTTAGTCCTGAGGGTGAGAAGGTGGACACAGGATGGAAAGAGCCACCGACTCTGGGGAGAAGGAGACACATGGAGACAGATATAGGTGGGGCTGGTGAAAGGTGCATGGACAATGCCAGCAGTGAAGAGGGTGGGAAACAGGGTCAGGCGGGCCAGAAGCAAACTTGCTGAAGGAAGGCCAGGGTGTAGGGAAAGAGAACAGGGTCAAAGAACAGGTCTGAGCTTCCTCATGTATTTCTTCCCTCTCTTTGTATCTCAGAGCCTTAAGAAATTGACATGTTCGGCACCAAAGGAAGTCTCTGCTGCACCGAGCTCAGTGCAGACCCTCTACCCCATGGGTGCTTCCCACTATGCCAAGGGACCCAGGTGGATGGCCGGTCTGCCCCAAGCCTGGTCACCCAGGAGCTCCTCCCTGACTTCTGGGGCTCTGCCTTCCCTGCAAAGAAAAGGCCAGAACTTGACCCAAGGCCTGCACCAGGGCCAGCACCATCCTGTTAAGCCTGAGGCAGCATCTTTCCACCAGAGTATGAATGGCAATTCCTCCTCTCCTCTTGCTCCTAATAAAAGAAAACCCTTAGACAGAATAAATTTCACAGAGTTTATTTGAGCAAAGAACAATTTGCCAATTAGAGGACTGTTGGAACCAGAAGAGGTTTAGAGCAGCAGCCCTCAACTTTTCTGGTACTAGGGACTAGTTTTATGGAAGAAAACTTTTCCACAGACAAAAGGTGGGAGGAAGGATGGTTTCTGGATAATTCAAGTGATTACATTTATTGTGAACTTTATTTCCATTACAATTATAGTGTAATATATAATGAAATAATTATATGACTCACCATAATGGAGGGTCAGTGGGAGGCCTGAGCTTGTTTTCCTGCAACTAGATGGTCCCATCTGGGGGTGATGGGAGACAGTGACACTTGAAGCGTGTTGCTTATGTCCTCAGCTCCAGCTCAGACCATAAGGTGTTAGATTCTCATGGGAGCACACAACCTAGGTCCCTCGAGTATGCAGGACTATGCAGTTTGCAGTAGAATTCACACTCCTATGAGAATCTAAGGCACCAATGATCCAACAGGAGGCTGAGCTCAGGTGGTGATGCCAGTGATGGGGAGCAGCCTGCAGCTCATCCTCTGCCGTGTGGCCAGTTTCTAAGAGGTCTGATGCTGCAGGTTGAGGACTGAAGGTTTAGAGAACGCTGCAATTTGGGCAGTGTTTAGAGACAGAAAAGCCTGAAGAGAGCAGAAACAAGGACAAAAAGCGGATTGATCATTTCACAGTTACTTTCCTTGTAAGGCTAAAGCAGAGGGGACATCCTTACTATTTGGGCTAAAAGGGGCTTGTTTGGAGATCTGGCTATTATCTCTCTTTCTCTCTCTCCTGACTTCTTAGAAGGCCAGATAAACAACTTCATTTCAGCCTGGTGGCCTGGAACTTCAGCATGACTCCTTTTTGGTCTGGTTCACTGGGCCTAGCACAGGAGTTCAGAACAAACGCATGACCTCCTGTAACTTCTATCTAATGTCTCCAGCTGGACACCCAGGCTGCCCCATCATTTCTGTCTCCCTCCCCCCCTCCCCATTCAGCCACCTTCTGCCAGGGCCATTCTGTTGCTTGGCTTTCTCCCCACTTCTAAGTCCCTTCCACCTTGCACCAACACCCAGACCACTGTGTCAGCCACATGACTGGTGTCCCATCTTCAGAGCCCTTCCTAGCCAGCTCCCCAGATAAGACCCTTCTCAGCAACACCTCTGTGCATTTTCACTGCCCAGGTATTGAAACTCAGTGTCACTGCAGGGGTCCCCTTGCCATCCGGCACTGCTAGGTCTATGCTGTTCTTCTTACCATTGCCAACGTGGCTGCAGGCCTGAGAAAGGAGAGAACCTTCCTTTTCTCTACACAAGCCAGGCAGAAGGCTGCTCACCACAAAACCCCTGAGATCACCCTGGCCTCTCCCAGGCCTTTTAGCCTCACAGGGCTGTTCTCTCTCTTGGACACACCTACAGTCCCAGTGCCAGACCTTCCTTCCAGTCTGAGCCTCTAATTTTATTAGCCTTTCTCTCCTATTTATCATGTATTTTTCTTTGTTCTTATTTTCTGGGAAAGTTCCTCAAGGTTACATTCTATCCAAATGTTCACAGTTTATACTATCACATTTTTTCCTTTCTAAATGGTCCATTTGTTCTATGAATATTCCTTTTTATAGCACAGCATGTTTTATTTTGATGTGCCATATTTTGTTTGGAAATATTGAAGTTTTAACTTTTGAACTTTTTTAAAGTTGTGTGTATTTTCTGTTTCCTACAAATGCCTGCTGTATCTTTTGTTTTCTCCTTTCGTGGGCCTCTGTCTTTCCTCGGAGCTTTCTGGAAATCTTTGCTGGTTCTCAGTAGCCTCTTGCCTCGAAGAGCTCAGATGATCTGCATGTGCCACAGGGTTCATGGGCTCCGGATATATTGGCAGGAGCATGGCTCCATTTTTTCTCTTTGACAGCTCTGTTTCTCCAGAAGGACTCTTCCCTGTCCTCCTTGAGAGCATAAGCCAGGATCAGGCTCCACAGATCAGGAGGTCCTCCTGCCCGTGTCTGCTTCCACTCAGCCCCATCACACTCTCTCCCAGCACCTGGGGCCCTGAGCAGAGCACCTGTGTGATTCACCTTTATCAGAGACTAACCTCAAGTTCCCCGCAGCTGGGTGATTGCGAGAAATGAGACGCTGTGGGCAGCTAACCTAGTCTCAGTCTCATGGGCAGCAGAGACTTAGGAGTCCAACTGACTCTTAAAATAGGCCTCTAACTTACTCTCTGGTTTCTAGCACCACTTTGACTCTGCCTTCTGAGATACCCACACCTCTGATTTCTAAGCCTTTCTGGGATTTATAAGATAAAAATGATTGATTCTTGCTCCCTACTAGCTTTCCCTGGTCTGTGGAGTCATCTGATTGTTACTCAGGTTCGAAATTGCATGCAGCTCTCCCTTTATCCTCAGGAATGGATTGGTACAGATTTTATCCATTTATTGCCCCCTCCATCATCCAACTTGCACACCACTTAGCAGGAGTGAGGAGGGACCCCCAATTTTCTGCCAGACATCCCTCCCCAGGAGTGAGCGATCCCGGGTCTCCACTCATGCCTGTATGGACACCTGTCTCCCGGACAGCCCCCATGGCCAGCTTCTTGGTGCCTTTACCTCATCCCTGTTCACTCCAGTCATCACAAGAAGGCCAAGATGACCCAATCTTCCTTTGCCATCCCAGAAGCCTGACTCAGTAAGATTTTATAAATTTGTTAAATGAACCCCTTTCCCCACTTGTCACCAAATCTGTTAACCTTCTAGCTCTAGCCTCTGAAATGGGCATTGCTGAGCGTGTGCTCTCACCTGTTCAGCTTCTCTCAATGTCATCTTCTCACTTTCCCTAAAATCTGCCTCTTCTCTGAGGACACAGCTTTCCCTGCATTTCTCTCGGGGGGTGGTTCATTGCTCTCCTTTGCCTCATGACACAAGGCCTGAGGGTGGGGTTGGTGTCCCCTGCGTTCCTCTGGCCCCTTCCTACCTTCCTGTGCCCCCTAAATCACCCCAGCAGCTGATTTTCTGCCATCAGACTATACCACCATGTGGGCCATCCGTCGTGGTTGCAGATGCTGTGTAATCTGGGCACTCTGCTTTATTCCTCAGGTGTCTTAACCCCTGGCTCAGCGTCCCTCTCACTGCTCCTGCCATAAGTTCTTGATGATCTTGGGCCCATGTAGACCCAGGGATGAGTCTTCCAAATCCCAGGCCTCTCTGTTCACTGAGGGATAATGTCCTTAAGCTTCTTGGAAGCCCTAATGTTTGGTTGAAAAAACTCTGTGAAGCACATACCTTAAAGTTAGTAGAGGGCCTTTGTCTGAGGCAGGATATGAAATAATAAGAAATATACAGACTGGTTTTTTGACCCTGGTTCCTGACACAGGGTGCTAGGAGAACCTTCTGTTTTAATATCGGTCTTCGAGTCAAGTTCCTGACACGGAGTGCCTATTCCCCTGGAACGAGTCACACTTTCAGCCCCACCTCCAATCCTTCAGAGAGGGGAGAGGGGCTAGAGGTAGAGTTAATAATCAATAATGCCTGCATGAAGAATCCTCTGTCAAAATCCCCAAAGTAAGGTTTTTGAGGAGCTTCTGCGTTGGTGAATATAACCACTTGCTGGGAGGGTGATGTACCCCAACTCCACAGGGACAGAAGCTCCTGCACTCCGGACCCTTCCAGACCTCATCCTATGTGTCTCTTCATCTGGCTGCTCATCTTAATCCTTTCTCACATCCTTTGTTATTATAATAAACAAGTGAACTTGAGTGTTTCTCTGAGTTCTGTGAGCCATCCCAGAAAGTCATCATACAAAACCTGAGACAGAGTTCATGACAACCCTGATTTATAGCTAGTCAGTCAGAAGTACAGGTGACAACCTGGGGCTTGTGATTGGCATCTGAAGTGGGGGCAGTCCTGTGGCAGTGAACTCTTAACCCAAGTGGTCTGTGCTAACTCTGGTTAGTGTCAGAATTGAACCGAATTGCAAGGTATCCAGTTGGTGTCTGCAGAGAAATGGAGAATTGCCGGGGAGGCAGGGTGAGTGTGGAAGAAAACAACTTGGTTTTTCATTCTAAATGCATTACCTTTGATCTTTCTGAGGTCTTAACAAGGGATTTTACAGTCACACCCCTGGTTTCATCTTTATATTACATGTTCCTGAAAGTGCCCTGGGTTTTATTTTAACATCATCTATTGTCTAGAGGCTGAGAGTTTAAAGTTAAGTCCCAGCTCCTTCACGTTGAATGGTCCCGACTATAATTTCTCTCTCTCCCCTCTCATTTTACAAATGAGCCACAAGAAGAAACCAGGTAGCACTTTCAACACTTTGCATGTAAATCCCTGGTTCCTGACACAGGGTGCTAGGAGGACCTTTTGTTTTAATGAGTTCACTGGGTTCGCTTTCTACTTCCCACATTACAGGCGTCAGTGTTGCTTTTCCTGGTGCGAAACAATGGCCTTTCCTTCTTACCTACTAACAGACCCTAGAGGAGGTACTTACAGTCTCTACCCCTGGTCTCTTCCTTGGTGAAAATGAAACTAATAATGTTGCAGAGGGAATGGCCTATAAAAAATGGTAAAAATATTTACTTCCCCAAAACCTGTATCCCTGCCTCAGGCCTGTGGGCAGGAGGAGCAGGGAATGTCTTTTATTCTTTGTGTCACAGGAGATAGCTCAGAGGAATTGTCTAAGCAGAAGACCCAAGATCCTCTTAGCTGAAAATGGGATTCATCTGGATGGAGGTCACGAGACTGTCTTAGCAGAAGATGGGATGAATCTGGGCAGAGGCCAGGGGATTGTCTTGGCCCAAGGTGGGATTTGGGGATATTTTTTAAAATATCAGAATATTTTAAAGTTCTGTGCTTCTGCTCAGAAGCAGAACTTTGGATTTGGGGATCATTGTCTGCCATTTTCCTCCTTTGCCAGCAAATTAATAAACTTCTCTTTCCTTCTCAAAGCACTTGTCCCTCTTATTCTGATGCAGCTTCAGGGGAACAAATGCTGAACTTTCATAACAGTAATACTCCCATTACCGACCTATTTGGATTTCTAAGTGGGATGGTACATTCACAAATCACCAGACATATGAAGGACACTGAGAAAATGCTGAGCTTTGGAAGGAGAAAGGTATGGTAGAAAGAGGCCTCAACTGTGACACAGGAGAGACAACCCAGAACTGGAAAGAGAAAATAATGTGTGGCACAGGGTGAACTTGGAGTCCTTATAGCCACCTCTGCTCAGTGGACAGCAGAGGAAAACAAAAAAAAAAATCAGGCTTAGGAAACTGACCAGGTAGAGCCCCAAACATGTGCATACTCACTGCCACCTCTCTGGCCAGCAGTGATCAGGAGGGGGTGGCCACCAACCCCGTGCATGATGGGATGGGGAAGGGGTCATCTCTGCACCTGTGTGCAATTCCCCAGCAATCCCTGACTGTCTTCCTGGTTTCCTGTGCTGACGTAGATGGGCATGCAGTGGAAACCCCAGATGGAGCTGAGGAGCCTGAGTCCCAACAAAGCCATCAGCCACTGTCAGCAGGCACTGACCTTCCTTAGGAGCTCAGTTTCCTTACCTGTAGGGAGGTAAATATTACCATCACACTGATGTGAGGACTACGATAAACAATGCTAATAAGCACACTTTATAAACAAGTTATAATTACAAACAATATAACCATTAAATTATTAAATTATATTGTTTATAATTATATGATTTTAAATTATAAAAAGGAAATTATAAATAATTATGGTAATATTTTATTCCTATTGTTTCCTAATTTTCCTTCCAACTCTGAGGCTCTGCCCTGCATCCTCACGCTTGATGTCCGAGAGACCAACTTCTCTATTCTGCCCTCTTTTCTCCATTATCGCCCTGTCTTGTCCTCAGTTTTCCTGATGCCCCCTGGAAGCCTGGGAGCCCCTTAGATGCTACTGTAAACAGCACTGCACCTAAGACCAGGGAGCAGAGGCGCTTGGGGTGAGCCAGGCTTGGAAACAAGAACTGGATTTGCTCTATCAGCTTAGCCATGTGTGTACTTGGGGCAGGTCACTGGCCCTCTGTGAACATCTGCTTCCTTCTCTAGAAAGTGAAGGAGATGGAGGTGAGTTCTGAACCCCCTTCCACATGACAGTGTCAGTGAGCCCAACCTGAACACCTCCCAGGGCCCAGCTCAGGGTTACCAGGGACTGAGCACCAGGAGCCAGCCTGAGAACACAAGCTGTGAGTCCACAGGTGGTGAGGCCTTGGGGAAGAGTCCAGCACAGGCTGGGGGGAGGGAACAAAGGAGAGGAACAGAACGGAAAAGAGGTGGCCAGAGAGGACAAAAGGCAGCTGCTGGTGGGCAGCAGACAGTGGGGGAAGGAGCCCAGCAAGGATGGGGAACTTTTCTGTGAAGTTACATTGGTCAGGATGCCATGACCCTCAACTGAGCCCAGTAGAGGGGGACACAGTCCCAGGAAGGAGGTGAAGCTCCATCCCATCTCCACTCACTCCTAAGGTCCTGGGAGCACCTTGAGGTCCAGGGTCAGGAGTTTTTCTCAGAAACGCTGGTCTCCTCCTTACTCTCTCTGCTTTCTTCCCGGGTTCCTCTGGGGACCAGGCTCCATACCAGGCCCAGAGCAGAGAAGTATGGGGACAGCCAAGGTCTCAGGCAGACCACAATTTCTGTTTATAGTTAAAGTGCTAAACTTTGGGGGGGGGGATCTGACAATGGAATGAATAGTAGAAGCTATTATTAAGAAATGATTTCTAATTGCATTGGCTGTGATAATATTAATTTGCTATGTAATGAGAAGCTCTTCTCTTAAGAGATCTATAATAAATTATTTATAAGTGAAATGCTGGGATATCTACAATTTATTTTAAAATACCTCCACATTTAAAAAATGTGGAATAAAATGTCTACATTTTATTTTAAAATACTTCCACATTAAAAAATAGGGAGCAGAGCAGAGCACCTGGCCCCTGAGCTCTGGTGATAGGGCTTCTCTGTGGAAACTGACCCCCCTGTGGAGGGATTATGAAAGGGCACCCCTCTGGGCCTGCTGATTAGATGCACCCCCTTCCCAGTCAGCACCTGGTAGGATTCCAACCCTGTTCTTACCATCTGGGCAGCCCCAATCGCCAGCATACCCAGGGTCACTACAGCCCAATCCTGAATCTCAAGGATGTGCCCACACCTTGGTGCAGCCAAAAACTTGGCATTGGTTGGCAAAACCTCTTCTACATCTGCACTGAGAATTACACAAACTGCACCGAGATTCCTGGGGTTTTTTTCTTTTTACAAATTATCTACTTTTTTTTCAACCAACATTTCTAGCATCAGTAGATGAGGCAGTGGGAGCATGTGCACAGCTGCAGCTCCTCTCTCCTCTAAGCCACCCCCTCCTGAGCCAAGGCCACTCATCACAGAGCCCTGCTCAGCACTCTCTGCTCTGTGCTCCCAGGCCTCGTCCCCTCGCCTCTACCTGAGACCCTCTCTGCACCTGGATCCTGGAGTTGACTCTCTACCTCCCCTCTCCTCTCCCCTCTGCATTCACAAAACCTCCTGGGGGCAGCACTTCACTGACGCACCAGGCAGGCCTGTGTGTGAGCTTAGTGCGGTCCATTTGGGCCTCTGACCCGGACCCAAATGCACTCTGACCGTGTCAACCATCTCTAGCCCATCCTTCTAGGGGACATGAAAAAAACAAGGGTCTGGGTGGCACCTGAGGCTCAAAGAGTGGGGCACCAGCCCCATATACTGGAGGTGGTGGGTTCAAACCCAGCCCCAGTCAAAAACTGTAAAAAGAAATAATAAAAAAAGTTTAAAAAAAATAAAGAAAAAGGAAACTGTATTTAATAATAATTTTAAAAAAGAGCAAAATCTTAAAAAAAAAAAACACAAGGATCTAGGAAATGAGGGGCAGTCTGGGAGAGAGAGAGAGAAAGGAGAAAGAGAAGACTGAGGCAGTGTTTGAGTTGACCACAGTTTCCCCCATCTCACTTCCTGCCTACCCACTGCCGTGGAGGGTGCTGGGCAGGCAGGAAGCCAGAGCTGAGTCTCCTGTGGCTGCACCCAGGGGAAGGGGTCTCCTGGGCGGGGTCTGCCTCCTCCTGCATTTCTGGAGTCTCCTGCGCAGGTCTCCCACCATCTCATGCATTTGTCCTCCATTCTTCCTTCTCAGAGGTGCTGGGGAGCCCTGATGGAGCATTTCCCAAGGACCACATAATTTCCTCAGCTTATCAGTCCCCACCCCAGGAGCTCAAGGAGAGAGGTGGCTCTGCTGTGAGAACTCCTCTCCTACTCCTGCAATTGATAACACCTCCGCACTCTGCTGCCTGCTTGTGCCCATGGCTTCAGAGGAGCTGCAGGGGAAGGAGGCAAGAGGGAAGCAGAAGGGAGCTGGGCTGGATAGGGAGAGGCAGCTGTGTAGCCAGGGCCCAGAAGGGGGCTTATTCCCTGGTGAGCACATTGGGGGCTGCCTGCCTTCCCCAGCCCCAGCCTGAGGCCTTGTGTTCCAGGCTCTTGAGGATAGAAACCTGAGCCTGAGGAACTGAGAGAAGGAGTTGGGAAGGATCTCCGTGGGCAGGGCCTATCCCAGCTGGAGAAGATGGGTAGGGGAAGGAGTCTGAGCAAGTCAGTGTGGCCTTGGGTGATTGTGTTCTCCCCATACCTGACCTGGGCCAACACGGGGCCTCACTTCTCCCAGCTCAACCATTGTAGTAAGAAACACCATGCTCCCTGCAGCTGTCAGAATTGTCCCCAGGTGTCCCCAGGTGAGTTCTTTCCCTGAAGAAATGTGCCTCTACAGGCTTCTGGGAGAAATGCCACTCACCTGTCCCCAGAGAAGGACTGGCCCCTCCATGCAAACAGCCCCCCCCACCCCCCGCCGTACAGAGCCAGGAAGGAAGACAAATAGATTTTTCCTCCTAAAAAACAATTCTTGACTATGATGAAAGAAACTATAAACAATGTTTTAAAAAGCGACAGAGTAGAAAACAATAACATTTATGTTATACAAAGATTAATATCCAGAATTTAAAAAGAACTTGTGAAATCAATAAGCAAAGGGCAACAAATCAATAAAAGAAACAGAAAAAGACAGAAACTGCAATACAAAGAAATGCCCATGGAAAATTCATATATGGACAACAAGATGGGTTTTATTATAAATGGGAAAATGCAAATTAAAACAACATTGAGGGATCATTTTTCAGCTATTCGATTAATAAAAATTTAAAAGATTGGTTATTCCCAGTGGTGATGAGGTTGTGAGAAAATTGGCAGTCTCAAAAGCTGTTGGGGGGAATATAAATTAGTGCATCCTTTTAGGAAATCAATTCGTCCAGATTTATCAAAATATTAGATGGGCCTCTACTTCCTGCAGACAATTCCATTTTTGGCATCTACATGAGAGAATAAATCATGTGTGCACAAAGGGGCATATATATAAAAAGTTATTTGTTGCAATGCTTTTTATAATAGTGAAACTCAGAAACAAATCAAACTGGTGGTGACTAGGAAAGGCACTAAATAATAATGCCACATCTTAGTAGAGGGTATGATACAACGGGTTAGAAAGAATGAGGCGGGTCTGTGTGTACTAACGTGCACAGATCAGAAGGCCAGCAGACAACCAAGCTGCCAAGACACATGTCGTAGCACCTTATTTATGTCGGTTAACATGAAGATAAAGCTGTATTGCTAGAGTATGTGTGTGCAAAACCAGGGCAGAGTGTACAAGAATTGGGTAATGTCTAGTGTGTGACCAGGGTGAGGTGGAGTATGAAAGAGAGATTTTCACTTTTTACCCTGTATTCTATCCTATTGAATGTTTTTTACTATAAAACATACTTAAATGTAAAAACTAGAAATGTTTTAATGACAGTTGAAATCAGAGGTCACAGCAGCCTTGCCCCTGGACAGCAGTGGAAGGGCGCGCGCTGCCTTGACGAAGTCTTCTGATGATGAACAACTTGCAGTGTCCTCTCCGGAGGCTCAGCTTCTGTGGGGTGCAAACTCTTTGGTTCCTATACCCTTGTTCTACCCTCTAAATAGCCTGGCAAGCTTCATGCAACCAAGGAAACTCTCCTTTGTGTCCCACCCTTGACATCCCACTTATCATACTGGCCCATCAATTACACTTAATCCGTACAATGGGAGGCTACTCAGCAACACAGAGGAACAAGCTACCAACAGGAGACCTGTGCAACCAAGTGATGTGCCTCGAATGCATTAGGAAAAAAGTCAAATTCAAAAGGCTGCACATGGGCTCAGGGCCTGTAGCTCAAGCAGCTGGGGCATCAGCCACATACACCAGAGGTGGCAGGTTCCAGCCCAGCCCAGGCCTGCCAAACAGTAATGACAACTACAGCCAAAAAAAAAGCCGGGGATTATGGCGGGTGCCTGTAGTCCCAGCTACTTGGGAGGCTGAGGCAGGAGACTCACTTAAGCCCAAAGAGTTTGAGGTTGCTGTGAGCTGTGATGCCACAGCACTCCACTGAGGGCAACACAGTGAGACTCTGTCTCAAAGAAAAGAAAAAAGAAATGGCCACAAATGGCCTGATTCTGTAAACATGACATTCTGGAATAGACAAACTGGTAGGAAGGAAACCACTAATCAGTGGTTTCCAGGTGCTAGGGTTTACCACGAAGAGACCAGAGAG